TTAAAATAATAAAATGTAACGAACACTCTGAATATTTGAAAATGCATAATTGAAAGCCGTAAAATCATATACGCTCTTTCGCACACTATTATTACGCATTATCTATGAATAAATTATATTTTTTTTTAATTTGTAGTTTACATACCGTCAACAATGTCTCACATTCACGATAATAGAACTTTGTATGATATTAGGCATAGCAGAAATATTTCATATTGCTGAGGTTGTTAATTCGATAAATATTAATTTGCAAGCATATTCATAACTGTCATATTTCTGCATGATTCTATTTTTTTGTTTGTAGATCTATTTTATAATCTATGATATTCTTTATATTAGATAAGTATGGTTTTTAACCGAAACAGCGATAACCTCAAGAGATCATCAATGCAAAATTACTTCAGTAGTTAACAAACTGCCTTGACCATAAACCTTGACATAGAACACAATACCAAGTTTTAGGATTTGTATATTCAATTTTCAGTAATTTTTACTTCTATTTTTACATTAATTAAATATTTTTCAAAATTAAGTTAATAAAAAGAACATCAAAATTACTAAAAATTTAATTAACTAACACATCATGTATTATTCACTATAATATTTTGTATATAAGTCCTTACTAACTTCCACTATAGTTTACAATTTATAATAGCAATCAAAAAGTGTAAAGTATAATCTATTGTGATTGTATTGATTCCTTAAATAAATGTATTCATTTATTATCACCAATTTTATTTCATATAAATATGACAACTAATATAATATCATAAAAAGATTAAAAATTCTATTACAGTTGAGAAATTGAAACAAAAAGTTGGACTGGAATGTTGTTATTGATAATAACAACAATGTGTATGGAAAATAATATTGCATTAGCAATCAGTAAATATAACAAATAATAACTAAACTGCTAAAATATTCTAGATTCCGAAATAAGCTGAGGTATTATTTGGAATTTTAATGTAGTATCGAAAATATGCCTTAAAAGTCATTTAGAAGAAATATTAATAATTAAATTACCATCGAAGAGTTCACGATATTCCATTTATTTTTTATATTCAAATAATCGTTTAGTTAGATAAATAATTACAATAATTATTTAAATTTCTTGAAGAATTTTTGTCTCAGGCAATGAATTTTAAGTTATATAAATAGTTATAAATTATAATAGGTAAATTGAATGCAAATTTATGCTAACAAAAATATTGAAGAACGATTCACACTCATATATGTGTAGCAAAATTTCACAATCAATTTTGTTTTGCATTTTACTATATAAATATTATTTCAATATAAATAACATTTAACATATCAACATTTTTTACTCCTTGAACGATTGAAAAGTTACCTTCATACAATAGCTTTCTTTTGAAATTAACGCAAAGTAAACTAGTGGTGTACGGTATTGCGCACTAAGGCAAATTGCTGGAACTTCCCGTACCGTAACGAAATGATCGAGGAATATTGTTTCTGAGGTATGTCAAAATGTTCAGAAGCCTCTGAAACGTGAAGTTAAGAAAAAATTTCCATTTTCGATTTTTGGCCCATTACTATAACTTACCCTGTGGGATGTTAAAAATATTAAAAAAAAAATATAATATTTTAGAATATAATTTGTTACACTATTATAGACCCAATAATTTAAGTAATGAACATTCGAAGAAAGTTGTTAATTAAATATTTTGCCGCTCCCATAATACGACATCAGAAAGTCGCTGCGTCTACTTTGGCAATCATTGGTTTATAGTGACACGTGCGTTTTGTATATGAAGATATATCAAAATCTTCATTGGCATTCATCTTATTCGAAATATTATTATTCGATATGTTTCGACACATGATTTTATGACATCATGAGTTGATTTTTCATTTTGAAACTCACATTATAACACTGCACTACACTGCACTATATTAAAATGCTATGGAAAAGTTTCATAACGACTATTATTCAAAATAACTTTCTAAAGAAATTTAACACAGAATATTCAAATCAAATGGTAAACAAAATGTGAAAAATCAAAACGAATAAAAATGGACAGATAAAACAAATAATTAGTCGAATATTCAGGCATTCAAATAAAATAAGATTTAAAATGAATAGCAAAAACAATGACATTGCTTCCATTGGCTCATATTATTACAGTACATAAGTAAATATTTGTCAATTTATCTTTGAAATTACCAAAAAACGCCTTATTGTAAAATATTGAATATGTTAATATGAAACGAAAAAATATGTTAAAAATATTATGTTTTTTATTATTAAACTAAATATATCACCATTAGGTATTTTACCTAAAAACGCATACCTTTATTCTCTGTATCCATTACACTAACTTGCCTTGAAATCAGTAATAAATATATAAATTATGTAAATTAAGTTAATGTATGAATAGCACTGCTAATAAACATTAGTATAGTAGATTGTGTATCACAGATATGTTATGAAATAACTCATACGCATGTTCTGCAATATAATATATAAGATTATCAGCAAACTGAAATCGTTGGTAGATGTCACATTTTTAACACTTTAGGGAAGACTGGGCATCTTCTAAAGTGGTCTAGGAAAGTAAACTATTGAGATTATTTACATACATTCACACATGGATACAAACACACACACACAGATATATATATATATATATATATATATATATATATATATATATATATATATATGATGAAATACTTTATCTCCAAAATTGTAAAAGTCGATGGACCGGTTATTCCCGGTGAGATTACCATCAAACGTCAATACTCTTGCTTCCTAAACTCGTAAACTCTCCTAGTATCAAATGCACTAAAATATTTACTAAAATCAGAATTAAAGTAGTTGTAAGTAGCATTTTGCCTTAAGGCAAGTTGCATGAACTCCTGATACATAATTTACTTAAAACAAGAATTCAACTTCAGGTATTTAGGTAAATTTTTCACCTGTTATTTCAAAAATAATTTTTTGCTTTTCATTTCATTTTATTCATTTCTAAATATGTGTTTTATTTAGTGTGGACGTCAACTGTAATCAGTAGCTGCCTACGGAACGCTCAACGTGCATATAGTTTGGCTTAAGTGATTCATATTGGAATCGTATAAGCAAGCGGTGAAATTCTAAACTTTTATGAATTTTCATACCGCTTATCGTAGGCCTATAATATTATTTTGGTATGTTATAAGTTTTTTCCCAAATGAGTCCCAAATGATATCTTTCAAATAGTTTTAGTTGAATTTTCAAAATCGGTTCTGAATATTTCACGAAATTAAAATTATGCGCTTTCTGTTTATTCTGAAGAAACGGCTCAGCCGATCGTTGGCTGGTTTCTCGATTGAGTTTCATCAACTAGCTTTTAAATTTAGAATCACGTGTAACATAAATTATGTGTGTATGTGTATTTGTCAGCTTATAAGTGACTATATACATATTATAAGTTTGTTATAGGAAATTGATTTTTTATAAGATTGCTGTGATTTCTCATACCAGAATAATTGCCTGTCTGAGATACTGTATGCATGAATTATATAACAAGAATAAACTCATTTTCAGAATCACATAAAATGTCAAGAAAATTTAAAATTAACAAGTTCGATTTTTTGGCTAAGATATAAAATTCTACTTCTCTTCTACTTAAATGGAAATTTTATAATATTTCTCCTTAAAACAAAATTTCTTACATTTTAATTTAAATTACATATATATACGTAAAAGAATAATATTCATGTGATATTATCTAAACACCAGATACTGATTGTTACTGCATTAATTAAATAAAAAAATATATCGCACAAGAAATTTAAATAATTCTGATCATACCCTAAAATAGTACAATTCTTTTCGTATACTTATTGGATTTTTTTTGTTAATTTTTAACTTTTAATTAAAATTTTAATTTTTATTTGCTCTATGTGACATCAGCCTTATAAATCTTACTTCATATAAATATTGCAATTTATTCAGATTAATATTCAACACGTTCAAAGTCTATCAACACAATTTAATACGTTATAGCTAGAACTATTGGTAATTAGTTTTTTTAATGATGATTGTAAAACAGCGTTGAACAATTAAAAAGAAATAAACTTTGAAATATAGCATTGATACTCAAATGCAAATTCAAAGATAAATGACAAAAATGCAGCTAATTTTAAGTTTGAGGCCTATTTCATTCCAAGGATTCACCCAAATAAGTAAGCCAAAATAAGGTGGCCTAATATAGCACATTCTGTACGAACTACACTTTTTATTCTTTTATAAAAATATTTCAATTTATTATTGTTATATATACATATATATATTTAGTTAGATGTATGTTGACTGACTAGTTGACTATTATATCAAATGACTTATGTGTAGTATTTGTTGCTTTAGGCGGGCTCATATGTGACTTGTGCCCAAAAATTGATCAAAATAAGAACGTTGCTTTTTAAATTATACGTAGTTTTTGATAAATACCATGTTCTGGTTATCTGCCAATATTTATAATAAAATAATAAAAAAAATCTAGAGAAAATACAAAGATATAAAACGGATGATTAAATCGCGAATCAAAAACTATTTTGAACAACCTGTGAGGGCGTCCATTAATCACGTGATTGATTTTCTAATGATTTTTGGACCTTCCACCCCCCTGGTAATACGTGCTGATATTCAAAATTAACCCCCCGCCTACCCCGACAAACATCACGTGTATCTTTAGTTACAAAATTTTTTGAAATTTAAAGTGTTTGGATTTTTTTTAATAAATTCAGGTAAAAAATGAAAAATACACGTAATATCTTACTAGACCGTCCCTTCCCCCACGTGATATTTCGTGATTTTTTGTCACTAAAACTTTTACAAACAGCATTTTCAAACGACATATACTTGTATTAACGTACAGGATACTATTAATAATTTCCCATAAATATTTTATTTGTATCGGAAAACCAGAACATCGAATGAGCCCAAATGAGAAATGCAATCAAATTTTTGTCCAAAACACTTAGTTTCCACTGATAATATTTTGTATAATTTAATTTAAGTAAAGTTATGCAAATTTCCTAATCCAATTCTTCTTATTTTTCTACTACATCAGGAGGTATCAAGTTCGGCAATGTCCTCAACAATTGACGAAACTGCCCTTTAACTAATTCCCATTGTGAAGTAAATCGTAAATGTATTCCAAACACTTCACAAACCTCCTCAAAGGCTGGATATAAATACGGAAGTAGTGCATGATCTAAAGTTGGGAACAAATGATGCAATCCATGATCTCCAAAACTTGTCAAAACCATAAACAAAGATCCTGTAACTTCATCCCTGTCCATGACAGCATCAAGTTGGAATTTTCCAAAATCTAGATCTTTTCTATGGGCATCGTTGTGGTGATAAATTTCTGGATGATGGTGAGCAGCGTTGTAACCGATTGCTCCAAAAAAGAAACTAGCAATCATAATAATTGTAAACCAAGTTTTTAGGGTAGAAATTATTGGCAAATTTGACATAATAATCATAGCCAACGGTAATGTATATGGAATCAATTCATGCCAAAATGGGGTGAGTAGATGACCTCTTTTGATCGCCGCGTTTATTCTGGAAGGTAAACGAATTTTAGGAGTATTTTGTAAAATTCAGTGACAATTATACATTTAGAATATTAATCTAATGAAATCCTGTCAAAACGTATATAAAATTTTTGAAATTATATTTTGAATTTAAATTTTTTGGCAATTTTCAAGATCTTGATGGAACCACACGTATATTGTTTCAACAAAACTTAATCAGAACTTTCAACTTAATGAAAAAAATCTGTTTCTTCGTTTTTTTATTGAATATCATAATAAAATAACAGATTATCAGCAAATATTATGATATAAATTAATTATGTTATCATTCTGTATCTGCCTTATCAAAAATTAAATGATTCTACATCATCTGGTATTTGCCGAAGGTTTATTAGTATAATTAATTTGTGAGAAAACAGTTTTTAACTTTGCCTGATTTACTATGCAATACTACATACAAATACGTGTTCCATTGATAATATAACTAGTTGAAAGAGGCATTTAATAAATGACTTAATCAACCGAAATTGAGATTCAGATATGTAGATAAAATTTTCAACTGTTTACTTCTAAAATGAAGTTATCACTATCAATTTAATCTAAACATCAACAATAAAATTTAATCTAAACATCAATTTAATCTAAACATTGCTATTTCCAATTGATATCTCTCAGACACATTTATAATATCTGTAATTATATTTTATAATGCATAGACACTAGTGCTTGTATGTCCAACAATTAATTTTGAAGAAACGGCCCGATAGATTTTCACCTAAAACTCAGTATCAACTTTGACGAATTTTTAAAATCAAAAGATTTGCCGTAGGTACGTAATACTTTAGTATGACCTGAAAGACCATGATATCTATTGCCAAAAAATTCATAAAAATCGTCGAATTTTTTTTTTCAATCGTTAATTTTCGTGCCAGCGAACCAAAAAACTAATCAGGTCGATTTCCAACCGATATCTTTGTCATTTTAACTTCTATTAAAAATGTATAAACTTAACAAGCATTTTAATTTTAGTACAGTTAGACATTCATAAAAATATTGATTTTGAGTAAAAATTGGCAAAGTTTAAGTTTGGAAACCTATGCTTTACACCATGGCTTCTTAAACTATGTATCGCGACCCGATTTGGGGTCGCGTAGTAATATTATGGGGACGATTTTATTGTCAAAAATATATATCATTTTATAACATCACGTCTATAGATTTTTGTTGTTTTGCAACGAATTCTAAAACAATATATTGGAATATGTATATATGTATGCGGTTTCCTAATAAATAATCATAAAAAAATATTATTTTTTTTTATATTTGTGTGGGGCCGTCAACAAACTTGCAATCATAAATCGAGTCGCGAATGAAAAAAAATTAAGAAGTCCTGCTTTATACAGTTTTTCGGGTATGTTAATTCTTTCTAATTTTTAGGGGCCTATCAAATAATGTAAGTTTAAATTAATATGTTTTTACCTGAAAATATACTGCCCAAGATAGATAATAGCATAAAACAATGGCGATATAACACAAGAAACATATTTCATAAAACCTTTATCTTTTGGTTGCCAACACAAAAATGGTTCAGCAGTGCTGCATTCCATATCAACCAAAGTGTTCGGATGCAAATGATGGGATAGAACATGAGATATACGCCATTCCCTAAAATTAAATTAAAATTATAAAAAATAGAGTAAGAGTTCTGCCAAATATTATTATGCATTTTCATCTTACCTACAACTTAATAACGTTAAATTAAAAGCATACATTCTCCAGTTATTTTTCTGGTGAAAGAAATTATGTGCGGCTACTGATGTCCAAGCTAAAAATAACCCTGCGAGAAATACTAATGGCCAATAAAAAGTCGACAAGATCGAACTAATAAATGTTCCCAAAATAAGAAAATCAATAATTAATTTAGATTTTCTTCTTACTGATTTTGGTACACGTTTGATTTCTTCGCTCATACGTTGTTTCAAAGTTTTATAGAAGCCATCTTCATTAAATGTCAATAACGAGTGACTTGGTATCCTTGCTTCACGTACAAAATATTTTGGTAATAATTTTTCTGCAGTTTTTGAAATGTGATGAGCTTCAAATGCTGCAGTTATATCCATACCCTATAAAAAAGATATATTATTAAGTTGATTGATTTAGTTCTTAAAATAGACTTCAGAAAATCAGCAAGTATACATATAATAAATACTATTACCCAAGTAGATCTAAATAACATTGTCTTTTCAAGCCACAAAAGCAATTTAACAAAAACGCATTTTTCAAATACTTTTCGATAAAACGGGAAAAAGAACTTGAATTCGGGACAAATGATGCTTCTAGAAAATTCCGGAAAGTTGATGACAACTTCGGGACTGTCCGGGACGACTGGTGACTTGGTGAACTCATACTTTATTTTTGGTGTACGCATGAATATAACACATTAAAACAATATATTATTAAAATTAAAATAACCATATTTTACCTTCGTATATTCCAGCCATTCTTTGCCACCTGGATGTTTTTCAACAAATCGCGATAAATCATATAATTTGTCGTGAATTCTCCACAAGCCTTCTGCGCCTCCATCTAATCTTTGGCCTTCTAACCAATTGTCTGCAGTTCTTGGATGTTTATCTCTTAATGATGGATAGTGAGTGTGAATATCATATTTACCTAAAACAAGAATGACAGAATATCATAACCAACATATACGGTAAAAAGCGACAAGTTTGTTGATTAGGCAAATATCAAAAATCGATATTGAGAATGCACAAAATGACTATTTGCTGAGGCAATTTATATTAGCATTTTTAAATTATTAAATAATCTATAAAATTCAAATAATACAAAATTTGAGTTATTCTGCTAGTAAATCAATATCACTATCTATTTCTATAATGCAAAGCTTTTAGAGATTTTATTATTACAAAGTTCTATAAGACCTAATTTAACACACACATATATGTATGATGTATATACACACACACACACACACACACATATATATATATATATATATATTATGTATACTATGTGTGTATGTTTCTGTCGATAAAAAATTATACAAACTAAATTGCCACTAATTATTGAAAAAAATCCGCAAAATCTACGTGCGTGTTTTCATGTACATAATATGTTTTATATAACCTTCATTGATAAGTATATTTTTGTATCAGAAGTCTAAATAATGATTATTGAATTTCAGCAAATCATTACCAATTTATATATTGCATGATAATAATACACACAACCACACATATATATTTTATATATATATATATATATATATATATATATATGCATGCATACATACATATACTATTATTATTATAGCCTATGCTAGTTAAATTTTATGTAAAATTCAAATCTTTATTGAGATTTTTTTATATAAAACCATTGAAAATACCACATTTTTTAATCTAATCTTTGTTGTATTATACGTTTCGATATTCAAATTTATGTCATCATACGTGTATAATAAACATGTATATGTATAAACATTGTTAGTACTAACATGTGTTTCAGCAATTTCTCAGAAATTTTAAATTTATTTTGTTTAGTTTTAAATATTAATAATACGTTGTCATGCTGAACAAATATTATTATTTTAATGTAATAATCATATATATTTGAAACTTCCAAAATGCTATCACTATAATGCAAATCTTTTTCTCACACAATTTTAATCACATATTTGTGTAAACTATTTATGATTAATAGTCCCTAATGATGACATATGATTTTAAGTGTTATAAATGATACTTTAATTTTTATAATTTTCGTTCAATTGAATATTAATATTGTTTACCTTTACCACCCATTTTGCACTTTCTCCAAACTTAATTTTTTATGCACTTTCTCACAATAACGATTTATTTTTGTTCTTTTCACTTTGATAATTACTAATTTGTCATGGTCTTGTTCATGATGTTCACACTAATAATATTAACTTTTTGAATGCATGTGGTTCTATCACAGATTTATCACAAAATAATTCAGTCCAATGTTTACAATATAATATACATATATTTTTTATCAGATAGCGAATATAATCCATTCTTATCGTATTTCGAACTTGAACCTTTCGAGTTTGTTACGGTCCGGCGATAATTTCGAAATGAAATTTTTCGAAAATTCGAATTAAAAAACATCATAAAATATTCAAAATTTTAAAACATTTGATAATGTTTACTTTAGATATTTTAAAATTATGAATATTATAGAACTCTAAGGCTTTGCAATGTTTTGACAACTTTAATCTACAATGTACAATACCACTCAACATCAGGAGTTTAAAAATAAACAAAAAATCACAGAAAATAAAACACTGTAAGCAGAACTATATATAATCTGAGGAATATAATGACATCAAAAATGCAAATTTCTTTCATAATAATACATAAAAATTTTACATCGCAATAGACTTCTTGGTCTTAATGAATATCTTAAAATATCACAGATCTTCGAAAAGTGAGTTAATTATTAAAATTTATTACAGTTTAGAAAAAAAAAATTACAACAATAGACCGCACCATTAGGACAAGCAAGCACGCGTTTAAGCAATAAATATAAAACAAAAACATTTATTATAAGTTTTGTTTGAATTACATCAACAAAATAGCATTAATTAGTTCTTAGTGAGAGCAAAAATTTCATTTTCAAAATTTGTTTTAGTTGAAAATTTTATCTAAAAATCTAAATCTCCATTCTTATTGATTAAGTTTATTATTTACATATATCGGGAAATTTATTCAACTTGCCTTGGTAAAATGCCACTTACAACTAGCTAGTTCATTATTAGGACCACCTTACAGTAAGATAAGATAATGAAAAGCAAAAAATCAATAAACAGCGATTTTGAATCCATGTTTACTATTACATAGTTTATTTTTAAAGTTACTTTTATATATCGCACATAGTCAAAATAATCTAATTTTATTACTTTATAGCAATAGAAAGTAATAGCAATTTTTTTAATTTATAGCAAGTAGTAAGATAATAGAAAAAGCTTAATTGAGAATAATCTAAATATTTAAAAATAAAATTTAAATCTTTTGTTCAGAGTTAATAAAAATAAGCCAGTAAAAATATTTTGCATTTACAATTTAGAATATTTTGCGGTTGTCAAAATATTTGAAATATCCGCCTCGCCAAATTAATTTCTTGTGATCTATTATTTTCATTAATAGTTTAAGCCTTTCCACTCCGATGCTGTTGCTCCGTCTGCAAATTAAATATAAAACTTGCAATTCGCCAGTGGAAATGGTTAATTATTTGATTTAATTCTATGAAATCTAATTGTTTATAAAGTGCTGATCTTATTATTTCTGCATCAGAAAGTAACAAAATCATTATCATCTTACAAAGATACAAATTATTGTCTTCCAAAGATGCAATGGATAAGATAAGTAATTATATCTTGCGTGCTGAAAATTTGTTTACATAATCGTTGCGAATTGTCATGATTATAAATTATAGGTTTATCGGTATTGAAAAATACAATGGACACACTTAGTATCTTTCATAATTATTGCGCGAAATTCAATCAAAAATATTTTGTACATCAATCATTTCAATTTAAGCCACCGGGCTAAGAAGAAGTAATGGCTCTAATATTTGATACCGTTTTAAAAGATATTACAGCGATATTAGCTGTAATTTTTGCTATTATTTATATTTATTTCCTAAACGCGTTTTCGTATTGGTCTAGAAGAGGTATACCGACAATTAAACCAAGTTTTCCATTTGGAAATGTCGCACCCATGTTCACTTTAAGGAAATCTATGGGTGAAAATGTGACTGATTTATACAATAAAATCAAAGCTCCATTTTTTGGAATGTATGTGTTTGCAACACCGAGGCTAGTTATTAAAGATCCACAAATAGTGAAGTTGGTTTTAGTTAAAGATTTTCAACATTTCCAAGATCGTGGAAACGAGATTGATCCAGAGAAAAATGCTTTAGTAGCACATTTGTTCAGTTTAGCAGGCAACCACTGGAAAAACTTAAGGAACGCATTGACACCTGCGTTTACTTCTGGAAAATTGAAAATGATGATGAACACAGTTATAAAATGTGGTGAAAATTTGCAAATATACCTCGAAGAAAAAGCTAAAGGCCAGGAAGTTTTGGAATTCAAAGACCTGGCAGCGCGTTACACCACAGATATCATTTCTTCCGTAGCAATGGGTATTGATGTTAATTCCATCAAAAATCCTAATGATGAATTTCGAAATATCGGTAGAAGGATCTTCGATTTTTCGACTACTTGGGAAGCTGTGAAGAATATTATGTTTTTCACATCTCCAGAATATTTGAAGACCCTTAATATATCTGTGGTTAAACCAGATGTACACGACTTTATGACAAATGTAGTTGAGCAAACTGTAAATTATCGAGAACAAAGTGGTGTCATGAGAAACGATTTTATGCAACTTCTGATACAATTGAGAAATACTGGCAAAATTAGAGACGATGATGACATGAAAGTGGAAATTCAGAGTAAGTAGACTCCAATAAATTTTACGCAATATATAAAGGTGTTAAAGAAATTTAAGCAAAATTTACTCTATTCAATCGTCGAGCTAAATTCCAATAATAATATTGAAACTTATTTTTATTCTAAAGTATTCTTTATAGTTGTTGTCGAACAATTCAGAATAACTGGAGGGGTCGCGAAAACAAAATTGCCAAATTGGATTTTATAATGATAACATAAACTTCTCTTTCGTACAGCTAATTATTCATTTAGTTTTAATTTGAGTTCTAGTCGCATAGAAAGTTGAAAAGAATTCAAAACATAAAAAGGATACCTGAGAAAGAAAATGAATACTTTTTCTGATTTCAACAACTTACCATAAGGAAAGGCATTTTAATGAGTTATTTTCAAATTTCAGAGGAGAAACAAATGTCTCTGGAAGAGATAACTGCAGAGGTGCACTTGTTCTTCCTTGCTGGATTTGAAACTTCGTCCATAACAATGTCATCCTTCTTCTACGAAATGGCAAGGAATCCAGAAATTATGAGGAAGGCACAAGCCGAAGTTGATTCCTGCGTTGCAAAACATGGAGGATTCACCTATGATGCCATGAACGAAATGAAATACCTGGAAAATTGTATAAATGGTAAGTTAAAAAAAATTGATAATTGAAATGCTTAAAAACAATGATTGGCAAAAATTATAAATTTTTCCATATATTATTGGTGTTTTGCTAAATGCATTGTATTGTTGATTATGATAAGAGTGTAATTGAGATAACAAAGATGACTATTATCGATTTAGTACAATTCCTCTAAATATGTTCCAGAAACTCTTCGCATTTACACTGCCCTACCATTTCTACTACGCCAGTGCTCTATTGACTACAAAATTCCTGGACACGATGCAGTAATTCCTAAAGGAACCAGGGTGCTGATACCATTAATGGGTTTACACAGAGATCCTGAATATTTTCCAGATCCGTTGAAGTACGATCCTGACCGTTTTAGTGATGAAAGAAAAGGATCCATTGTTCCTTATACGTATATCCCTTTTGGTGAAGGAAAACGAGCCTGTATAGGTGAGATAAATTAAAACAATAGACAATAATTGGTAATTGGAAAGAAAATTTAAGCAATATATAAAATAGAAAATAGACATTTTATATGAGTAAAAATAAATTTAATCAATTTTGTTTATCAGTAATTTATGATAAACTTCATGTACGTCCAGTTTAAATGTTAAGACATTACCTGGAGGTAACTCCTTAATGTGAGAGCATCTTCTATTTCTTGAACTTTTGCTTTCAATCTACTGAGTACTACTTTTTCATTTGCTACCTTCTTGGATGCATTTTATTTTCCCAAATCTTCTCCAATACTACACACAACTCCATATTTCTGACTGGCAGCATGTAAAAAAATTAAAATATCATACTCATTACATTTTTTTTGTATAAACATTTATGATTTTAGATTACGAACTATATATCTTTTACACCTCTAGGTATGCGTTTAGGAAAAATGCAAGTAAAAGTTGGTTTAGCAATGGTGCTTCAAAAATACGACATTCTGAAATGTTCCAAAACATCCACAGAGTTTCAACATGATCCAACAACTGCTGGTGTGGTTCACTTAGGAGGAATTTGGCTAAAGGTTGCTCCTCGTAAACAATAAAAAATGATATTAATTTAGAAATAATTTTTATACTAAGAATACTTTATATTTGCTCGTATTTTCAGCAACAAATGCTATATAATTATATAAAATAGAAGAAAAACAACTTGAAAAGTCGTGACGGTATATTTATGTATGAATATTTTTAGCATTATTGTAATTTATCGAATAATAGGTAATGTTTATTTAGACATGAATTATAATATAAATGGATTCGGAAATAATATATGTACAAAAAAACTCATAAATAAATTATAATTATGGCAATCATTTAGATAAGCATTTGTTCTATGATATGTCTTTAAGCATTCGTTCTAAGATATGTCTTTTCAATTGTCTTTAACGATGTAATTATAATCACTGTTCATTAATTTCTGTTAATATAAATGATTGTATGATGACATAATAAATATTTTATCATATATAAGATGTCTATGATATGTCTTTTAGCATTCGTTCTAAGATATGTCTTTTCAATTGTCTTTAACGATGTAATTATAATCACTGTTCATTAATTTCTGTTAATATAAATGATTGTATGATGACATAATAAATATTTTATCATATATAAGATATGCCATTATGCGATATGAAATCGTTTGGATTCGGCGTAAAAACAACTTTATCAAAATCATGAATAAGCATTATTTATGAAGCGCGTTAACAGTTGATAATCTGTGGTATATTTTTGGCAAAGTAACACGAAAAAATAATTGATATGTACTAGTCGTGTAATTATAATATTTTATTGCGTGAATAAAAGTGAAAAGGTGAAAATGTTCGACTTTATCCAATATGTGTTTGAAGTTTTGGTGGCCGTTCTGGTGTTAGTACTTGCAGCAACTTACGTATATTTCAAACACTCTTTCACATTCTGGGAAAAAAGAAATATTCCATCAATTGCACCAACTTTTCCTTTCGGAAATGTAGAACCTGTGTTTAGATCCAAAAAATCAATGAGTCAAAATATAGCTGATTTATACAACAGCATAAAAGCGCCATTCTTCGGTATTTATGTGTTTTGTATACCCAGATTGGTAGTAAAGGATCCAGAATTGATCAAGTTAATTTTGGTGAAGGACTTCCAATATTTCCAAAACAGGGGCAATGAATTTGACTCAAAATCCAACGCTTTGCAATCGAATTTATTTAGCATATCAGGAGATTCTTGGCAAAAATTAAGAAATGCTCTGTCACCGGCATTTACATCGGGAAAACTTAAAGCTATGATGGAGATTATTATTAGATGCGGTAAAAATTTGCAAGAATTTCTTGAAGAAAAATCCAACAGTAAAGAAGAACTCGAATTCAAAGACTTGGCTGCAAGATACACAACAGATGTAATTTCTTCAGTAGCTTTAGGCAATGAAGTAAACTCAGTGAAAAATCCAAATCACGAATTTCGCGAAATTGGCAGAAAAATATTTAATTTACCCACAAGATGGGATGTTGTCATGTCCATTATGTTTTTCATGTCACCTGAAATCCTGAATAAATTTAAATTGGCAAATATAAGTCGTGAAGTTTATGATTTCATGATGAATGTTGTTAGACAAACAGTGACCTTTAGAGAAGAAAATAATATAACAAGACCTGATTTCATGCAACTTTTGATTCAGTTGAGAAATGGTGGTGAAATTACAGATGATGATGACATGAAAATCAAAGTACAAGGTAATAGAATGATATCATAAAAAATGATAGCCAACAAATGTTTTTTTGATACCTATACATTTTTGAGTATTTTATAAAAAAATGTATACATTAGGGTGGTCCTTAAAATGGTCATTTTCGAATTTCCTTGCTCCCATGATCTCAAATGGTTCCAAATTGATAAAAAACAATTCTCTGAAAGTTTTGGCTCTTAATATTGTCTTTTAGATAGAGCGCAATTCAATCAAAGTTGTGTATGGAAATAGCATGAACAAATTTTCAAAAATTTTGAGCGTAGAATTTTCAATAAAAATGACACAAATTTTCACTTTTAATTCATTTGTCGCTAAGTTGTACCTAAAAAATTTTTTTTTCATGCTATTGCCATACGAAGTTTGATTGAATTGCGCACTATCTAAAAGTTAATATTAAGAGCTAAAACTTTCAGAAAATTATTTTTCATTAATTTGGAACCATTTGAGCCCTTGGGAGCAAGGAAATTAAAAAATGTCTATATTAAGGACCACCCTAATGTATATGTATGATTCTTACTTGCGATTCTTTCAGGAGAAAAGCAGTTATCCTTGGATGCTATAGCATCAGAAGTGAATTTGTTCTTCTTGGCTGGTTTCGAAACATCTTCTATAACAATGTCATCATTTTTCTATGAAATGGCACAAAACCATGACATCATGCGAAAAGCTCAAGCAGATATTGATGCAAGTGTCGCAAAACATGGAGGTTTTAACTATGAAGCAATGAATGATATGAAATATTTGGAAAATTGCATTAATGGTAAGAAAATTACAAACAAATGTATATGACTGTAGTCTTACCCTAATATATCTATGTTATGATTGAAAATTTGCATTTGCTCTCCATGATAATATATAATTTTGATTCTTTACCAGATTCTGATTCGTACAGGAACTTTAGTTAATAGAAGGCCAAATGCTTTTTAATGCCAAAAGATTGTTTTTATTACAGAAACTCTCCGGATTTATACAACGTTACCATTCCTTGTTCGCGAATGCTCAATAGACTACAAAATTCCTGGACACAACGCATTCATTCCAAAAGGCACCAGAGTATTGATACCGTTAATGGGTCTCCACCGAGATCCAGATCATTTCCCAAACCCAATGAAATTTGATCCAGACCGATTCAGTGATGAGCGTAAAGGTTCCATAAAACCTTATACATATTTTCCTTTTGGAGAAGGAAAAAGGGCATGCATTGGTAATAAAGAATTACATCAAAATAATAATATTGTTATGAAATATGTTATAGAATTTTACTTTTAGGCATGCGTTTGGGAAAAATGCAAGTGAAAATGGGATTGGCAATGGTGCTTCACAAATTTGATATTTTGAAATGTTCTAAAACATCAGAAGAATTCCAGCATGATCCTACTACTGCGGGTGTTGTACATTTAGGTGGAATCTGGCTGAAAGTAGCTAAACGAAAAGTTTAATGAGTAATAGATAATTAGTATCAAAATTCGTCTAGTTTATACTCACCGAGAAAACATTGATTCTTAATTAAAAATATTTTAAAATGCGCAAATCACGTAGATGATTTGCACTTCAGTCAGTTGATGGTCAAAATTTTGAGCCATTTTGAGCCGAATTTCTTTCATGTTATTTTCTTTCCGTCGTTAATCAAGTCCATTATTATTTATAGTCGGACTTTTCACTTGACGTTGTTATTTCAAAAAAAGATTCCACCTCAGTTTTGTGTTCATTTTTAACTTCTTCACTGTATTTGCATATATTCAACTATGTTGGTACATTTAATCTTAGTCAGGATATTTTTGTCTTAATCCAGGATATTTTAGTCCTGATGTATTATTATTATAAGTAGTTTAATACTAACTTATATAAATAAGAATTCCAAACTCTTCTATAACATATTATAATTATTATAAAAAAAAATTAATTGAGTAGCTAAAATCGAATAATACGAACAAAAAAACTCGATTGAAATATCGATTGATAATTGCAGAACTGATATCACTGAGCTAATATTTTGACTCAGGAATAATTACATTTGCATATTAAGTAAAAATGCAAATTTCGCCAAACATTAATTATTTTTAAAATTTTTAGTAATAAGGTGCAGTATAGCATTTTATGAAATATTTATTTGTAAATTCGATGTATTTCTAAATACATAATTATAGATAATTAATTTTGTAAATAAAAATCAGTTGTATCCAACGTATTTATTTAAAGTGATAACCTTTTAGTCGTTAGTAAAACTTATCTCTAACAGATTGTACCAAAATAATTGTGCTGGTCATTTAATAATATTGTCACATCATCGTTCATAACAAATCCACTACGAGTTTGAATTTTTGTGTACTAACATAAACTTGTATTAATTCTAATTGGTGTAAAATTATAATAAACATTTCAGTTACTAAAAGAAGCCAAAACTTCAAAATGATATTCTTAAATAATGTATTAACAGTAATTATTGCAATAATTGTAATAATTATTACAGTAATTTATAGTTATTTTTTGTATTCATTTACTTATTGGAAAAGAAAGGATGTACCATACATCCAACCTTCTTTTCCATTTGGTAACATAAGTGCAATGTTTTTCCGAAAACAGTCAATGAGCCAAGTGATGTCAAACTTATACAACAGTGTCCAAAAACCATTTTTTGGTATATATGTATTCCTTTTCCCACGATTGGTGGTAAAAGATCCCGAGTTAATAAAAATGATAATGGTAAAAGATTTTCAGAACTTCCAAAACAGAGGAAATGAGTTTGATCCCAAAACAAATGCTTTGGCATCGAATTTATTTAGTTTATCTGGTGAGGCTTGGGTAAAATTGAGGAATGTTCTATCACCAGCTTTTACATCTGGAAAACTGAAAGTTATGATGGAAACGATCACAAAATGCGGAGAACAACTTCAAGAACATTTATCAGAAAAGGCAAAGAACAGTGAAGTAGTTGAATTTAAGGATTTGGCAGCAAGATACACGACTGATATAATTGCATCAGTAGCTTTTGGAATAGACGTAAACTCTGTAAAAAATCCTGACGACGAATTTCGACAAATTGGTAAAAAGATCTTCCAAGTATCCAATTATAAAGACTTTATCGTGAAGTTATTGTTCCACAATTGCCCGGAATTGATAAATTTATTAAGAATTTCAATTATTAATGCTGATGTGTACAAATTTATAATGAATATTGTACAACAGATTGTGACTCTTAGAGAGAAAAAAGGAGTAGTGAGAAATGATTTTATGCAGATGCTCATACAGTTACGGAATTCAGGAAAAGTTAATGAAGATGATGGCATGAAAGTTAAAATCAAAGGTAGGTAAACTTTTTTTTTAATAATAATATTTAACGATCCAGTTGTGGAAAAGTGGAAAAAATGCAGATTAGTTGCTGGTTGCTCCCAACCTCGCCTAGATCGGTATCAAGCAGTATGACGCTGGACATCACTAATCACCACGATCATAAGTCATATTAGTAAAAGCTACTATAAAATAATTTACATTTCAGATGCAAAGCTTTTATCGATTGAAGCAATTGCTGCTGAAGCTCGCTTATTCCTTGCAGCAGGTTTTGAAACATCTTCAATGACAATGTCTTCATTTTTTTATGAAATTTCCCAAAACCCATACATTATGAAAAAAGTCCAGAATGAAATCGATACTTGTGTTAAAAGGTATGGTGGTTTTACATATGAAGCCCTGAACGATATGAAGTATCTGGAAAATTGCATAAGCGGTAATCAGCACTAACACCTAATTAACCATCAATACAAATAATTTACCCAATATCAAATTAATTCTCTCATTCTATTTTTAATAGAAACATTACGTCTGTATCCTGTTTTGCCTTCACTGACAAGGGAGTGTTTAACTGACTACAAAATTCCTGGAAGCAAAACAGTAATTCCGAAAGGTACCAGGGTATTGATTCCGCTATTGGGATTGCAAAGGGATCCTAAATATTTTTCAAATCCTGAAAAGTTTGATCCTGATCGATTCAGTGATGATCGCAAAGATTCAATTACACCATACACATACATGCCATTTGGTGAAGGAAGAAGGGCCTGCATAGGTAAATATATATAGTCACATGGTATACATTTTGGGATTAAAATTTTTAGTCATGAAAAAAAAAATGATTTGAAGTAAGAATAAATCAAAAATAATAGAAGTAAGAATACATCAAAAATAATATTTAATAGCAAGCAACGATTCTATTTTTACGAATCAATTGAATGCAGATGAAATTTAAAGTAATTCACAAATAGTGATAGTTCTAAAAGAAAAAATTATAAACCACTTTACCTCTAATTAAATCCTATTCATCATGAAATCAAGATTAATTTTGCAGCAAAATATTTATTTAATTGATGAAGTTGAAACTCAAATTATTCCATGATGAATAAATATTATAAAACAACCCACATAGATTTATTTAGATTTTAAGTGGTTCATAAATATTCTTATGTGTCATAATATTTGAGTTTACGAATACTATACAGATGAGATGGCGTAAGAATTTACTTAATGACGTATGTTAATAGCAAATATAAGAAACTTTCAATTGGCGTGCGCTCTATCTAAATGTTTATATTAAGAGCTAATACTATTAGAGATTTATTTTTTATGCATTTGGAAGCGTTGGCGCTCTTGGGAGCAAAGAAATTCAAAAATGTCTTTGTTAAGGACCACCCTAATATATAGAGATCTACAGAATTACATTTCTAATTCCATGATGTTGTTGTTTTATCCATTAGTAAACACATGCAATAATTAAATTATATACATACATAAAAAGGAAAAAAATCTAGATTTAATAAAGCTTATCAATTTTCAGCACTTGCTATTTAAAAATTAACTTTTCTTTTTTTAGGTATGCGATTGGCAAAATTGCAAATGAAAGTTGGATTGGCTATGACATTATATAAATTTGATATTTTGAAAAGTGCAAAAACTTCGCAGAAATTTCGACACGATCCAGAATCATCAGGAGTTTCACTTTTGGGTGGAATTTGGCTCCAAATTGCACACCGAAAATAAAAATTACTGTTTTCATCATCAATAATAATAATCTATATGAGTTCATTTCCAAATGACGAATTTCTTATAACCTAGTTTTATAGATAAGTATTTTTTTAATTTTATAATATTTTTATATATTTAAATACTAGTTGGTGTATGGCATCGTGCCTTAAGGCAAATTGCTGGAACTTTCGAGGAATATTAAATGTTTTCAAATTAATTATTATAAATACTGTAACATTGCCTAATATTTATAAGAATTATATGAACTGAATCACAAAGTTAAAATTATTTACTTGGAGTATATAAGTGAGCTTTAGAACTAGCCATTATTAAAATTAAAATCTGAATTATTTTCGATATACAAAAAAATTTTTTTTTCGAAAACAATGGAATTTAAAAATACCTGGCCAAATTATTCAAATTGATATAAAATTCATTTATGATATGATAATGATTTCTGCGCAACATTTTATGAATGAAGATGATATAATAAACAAAATAAACGTCCGAAATATTGCCAAAATAGTTTTATTACAAATCACGAATTTTCATTAAAATATTCTATCATTAAATTAGTTAAACTATTAAGTCTAATTTAAACTACATGATTATCAACAAGTTAAGTTATTATACTACACTTATATTAATATTAATATAATATTAATAGACTTTGTGAATGTCTTAACAATGTGCGCAGAAATATTTAATACTTTTAATAATACTAAAGTTGATCAAAATCACAGAAATCTAGATATAAGAAATATTTGAAGTACTAAATTAGTTATTTACAGTATTAGAGCTAAAATTGTATTTTTATAATTGTAGCATAATTGATACCTTCTTTTAATCCACGAGAATTATATATTTACAAAATTTTAAATATTTTAGACCGCTAGGATAAAAAATGTATATGAAGAATATATCTGGGCCTATTATATTTAAGTTTTGAGTTGCTAAAATAAAATTTCTTTGAATGTATTTTCTTTTTTTTTGTAAAATGTGAATTTGTCTTTTAATTTTAAACGATTCGTTACTGGTATGTCGCATTTGTTTCAAATTATAATAAAATAGATTTGTTGGAGGTATTTTTTATAAGAGTTACCTACAACCTTGTAACCGTTTTGGATATCTTATTTATATTTTTTAGAAATGTATTATTTTAAATACTGCTATTATGGTATTCCTATAAGATACAGTTTCCCAAAAATTGTTCATAATAAACCTATGTTCATATGATTTTTAGTTTAGTACATAAATCATGGTCCAATAAAAATTGCAATGTTTAAAAAACAGTACCTATAAAAATGATCTTATGCTATATTTTTATAATAAAATAAACTTCATCATAAGTTCATTAACTTTAAAATATTGTCTATATTGTTTATATACATTATATGTTCATATGTACAAACTGTTATAAAGATTCATATCACAAGTTTCGTTTTTATTTTACTTGGTTCTTTTGTAAAAAATATTTATGGTTACTGGTCGAAAATAAATAAATAGTCTTAATTAATACTAACTTCTAGAAGTTTTAATGAGTAGATTTATCTTAAAATTTAACATTTTTTGCACAACTTTTGGCCAAATGAATTTTTGCACAACGTCCCATGTCTTTTTATTCGAATTACTCTTCTAGGATTTTGATAAAACTTCTCATGACGATAGAGTTGA